AAACTCAAACACTTGATGCTGTCTATAATCAAATATTTGTCAACTATTCATGTAATAAACCTTCACAAACTGCTTCATACCCATTATGTTAAACAAAGACAATTGCTGTGCAGTAAAATCAAGCTGTTCAAAACATACTACGCCTTCACTGGATAGATTTATTTTAAGTGAATAATTCTTGTCAGTAAGAGGGTACTCAGGTAACAGCTCAATTCTTGGAATGTAAAACGCTGAAAAAAAGTGATTAATGACCGACGATTTCTTATTTAAATACACAGTGAAAGATTTATTTCCATTGGGCTCTGAAAAAAATCCACTTAATATTGAAGGTCGTATCAACATTTATTTCTAACTACAGATCGTTAAGGTCTTTATCTATATATACACCAATGATTCACTCAGTTTGTTTATCTTCTGTTGTTTATTCGTAAATGGAACAACTAATAAATCCTTTCTCATAATAAGAGAAAATAGTTGGCATAACTATTGAATGAACTTTTTGATTTATTTTGTCATTATGGTGTGAAAATGGTCAAAATAACAGTATCAATGTTTATCCCCATATGAGTTGAAATATCAATAAATTTATTATAATTGATATATTTCGTTTAAGCCAAATTGTAATTTATATTTGAATATAAACACTAATTACCATAATCTACGAAATCAATTATTTCATGTTTACCATGCATTGAATAACAACAGTCCAGTAACCTTCAATAAATTGACAAAAGATAAAGGTTGAACATTGAGTGTTCATTGAAGTCCTTTATGAACAAAATAATAACACTCATGAAATTACACCCTTAGTCTATACGGCTGTTAGGATCCGCTGGGTATTCTACGGCCATTTCTCCAACATACAAACTTAATATACAGCTTCTTTTCTCTATGTAAATGAGAATCTTGCACTGCTTAATAGCAGTATGTTGCCCTTTCATAAGTTCTTATGGTGCTCTTTAACGCTTCAAGTGATTGGAACGCTACCAGATACAATGTATTCAAAAACGTGTTATTGGTTTCCGTGATAACGTGAGAAACGACAAACCTTGTACTTTGTACAATACTATCCTTCATAATTTGAAGAAAAGGTGCTCTGTTGACAAATACTTACATTTTATGTCAATTTTAAAAAATAAATAACCAATTATAATAAATGTAATTGAACGAAATGGAAGGAAAAAGATTGAGAAATGGAGTAAAAGAAGATTAATTTTAAAAAATACACATAAACCTCCATGCGTTCACACTTATTGATGGTGATCATAAGTAGAATTCTAATTAATACTCCATTCTTCTTAAGACGTTGTAGGGATTTAGGAAATAACTTTAAAATATAAGTTACTTTTCAATACTTGCTGATAGTGACTGCAGGTAACATTGATAATCAGAGACCATCAAACAAGTTTTTCCTTTTTGTTAGGATTCTTAAGTAAAGCATAATAGTGATCACATGTGTAAATTCAGGTCTATAGGTGGAGTTAATGCATTTAAACCATGGTATTAGGATTTATTAGCTCAAATTTGTAACATGATCTACACTGAATCTCATCTACCATTGTCAGTTATAAATGTTACAATTCCTGTGGGGTTTTATTCTATTAGTCATAACTTTGGAAAGCTCACTTAAATTATTCCATTATTTATTGCATGATTAGTAGGTGTTCCACGAATATACAGAGACTTTTTCATTCCAAATTCATTGAATCATCTGCCAATGTGAAGACTTAAATATTGAGTTAATATACTGTATAAATGACAAGGATCTTAAATTCCACTGTTATATAAATCGAAGAAGTATATGTATTTCAAGAGAACTTGGAATAAGCATTTGCTTTTAATTCAGTCAATTATACTTCTATATAACATATTATTTCTATTACTAGTGATTCTGAATATATATTAGTACCAGCTTATCATTTTTTAATCCATTCCCATCCCCTAGAAATGAGCTCCTTCATATTTAACCAATTATACTGTAAAATTGTCAAAGCGTCGTATTAAAATGTACACCTATACATATTATAACATTGGTGATCCAAATATTTATGTAGCTGTATGTAAATTACATGATAAGGTAAATTAAAGTCCCATTCGTTTTAAAAAGGAAAAGGACTGTTACAACAATCAGCCACTTAGGAACACCACGAACAAATATAAGCCCAAAAACCGTGTCAAAAAATGCAAGTCAAAATAAGTATGCAGACAATGATAGATTAAAAGTTAACAATAATCAATCAAGATCAGGGTTTATAAGATAACCCGTCAACCATATGTGGATAAATTCAAATACCTCACTTCTGCTTGACATTTGTGCTATGATAACGTTCAGTAGAAAATTTTAAACATTCATGATTAAACTGTCCACCTCGAAAAGAGAGCTCTACCAAAATCACACACTAGAATTACAAATGTTTGTCATTATCTCAAAACACAAACATCGTGGTAACTGAAACGAAAGTAATAAATTAACCGATGTTCACAGATAAATTTGAAATTTGAGAAAGAATTTTAATGCCTATTTAAACGTAAATCATATCTCACCTCATCGTGTTATCTTGATAATTATCATTCAAATCAAAATATGTTCAAGTTGTAGCAACTAACCATATTGCACAATACTGGATCCAAATCTCATCATATGCAATTTCAGGCTTCAGTTTATTTTAAGATTTAAGAACACCCCACAAGTTAATAATGTTCACTGATTACAGTGCGATAGCTGAGTAAATTTGCATCTCAGAAACAATCACATCCTCAATGTGTGCGTGTGTGAAGAATAGCCTTAGGTTGCCAACTGTTTCATACATTTTGTGACAAATAGTGGCACTACTTATTATTTGTTAGTAGTCAAATTATACTTTTATTCAAAAATTGTAATTGTCGAGGAATCCACAAATCTTGTACTTATATCTGCAATTGAATAATGTTTTGGCGAGACTAAAGAACATGGACGAGCCAATCAGAAGCTTTCGCGGGTTTTCAAGGTCACAGCGCTAAGTTCGGTACCTGACGCTTACGTACGGTCAGTTTACAAAGGATTTTAGAGAAAACATGATAATTAAGCGACTACAAGATATGTTACCATTAGGTTTTGGCGCAAAATTCAATTATATATTTGGATTGAGTAGTGGCATTATAGCTGATGTCAGTTCGTGATGAAAACCCTAAGTAAAATTCACAACCTTAACCATGAACTGTAGATCATAATTTGGATTCTTCACACGGGTTTATAACCCTCATTTAGTCTTAGTTATTATGTTGACACTCTCAGATTCACTCTAGCGTCGCTCAAATGTCGTCCATTATTTATAGTCTCATCTTTAACCCTAAACCTTAACCCTAATCCTAAACCCTAAACCATAACAACATACCGACAACACTGAAACTATGTGGTTGAGGCTGAAAGAATTTTCGGGACTTTATAATGGTTCCAGATGTCGACTAATATGGAGCCTCAGGGATGAGTTCCTGTGCCGGATGCACTATGATTTTAGAACTTCTGAACCTATATCTGACCTTGATAAGTTTTTGATACATGTAAAAGAACAGTATCCCCTTTAATTTTTGAGTTTTGTATAATATATTTTTATTGTATGCTAACTGTCTTCTGATTGGCCAATATTTCTCAAGGTCATTTAAGATTCGTTCAAAGGTCGTCCATGTTCTTTAGTCTCGCCAATGTTTTAGAAAACTCAAGGATGGAGAGTAATATTTACCACGACCGGTGAAACGGTAAATGATAAGAACATAAGCTAAATTAGTTCAATATCAAATAAACTGTCGACAGCGAAGAAAATACTTTTTGGTCATGTTACTTACTAAAGCCAAACAATTGTATTTACAGTCATTTTCACACATAGTAGTCGACAATAAAATTGACTTTGAAAGTTCAATTGATGGCCGAAAGGATAGTTTCAGATTACATAATATTCAAACGGTGGTACGAATGATGATAAAATACAGAGAAGAGATATGAAAGATTATATAACTTACAAAATAGAGAACTACGAGAACCATCATCTAGAAGAAACAAGTGTTTATTAACAATTGTCTACGCAAAATACTTCGGATCTGTTGACCAGACACTATCAGCAGCAACCTACTGTGGGAGAGAACAAACCAGATTCTAGTGGAGGAAGAAATCAGGAAGAAGAGTTGGAAGTGGATAGGATACACATTGAGGAAATCACTCAACTGAGTCACAAGACAAGCCCTCACGTGGAATCCTGAAGGTCAAAAGAGAAGAGTAAGATCAAAGAACACATTACGCTGAGAAATAGAGACAGACATGAGAAGAATGAACAAAAGTTGGATAGAATTAGAAAATAAAGCCCAGGATAGAGTAGGTTGGCGAATGCTGGTCAGTGGCCTATGCTACATTATGAGTACCAGGAGTAAGTAAGTAAGTATAAAGTGAATTTCTTTTCATCATATTACTAATGCCTAAATACTTATCATGAAAATTTTAGCAATGTTCTATACACGATAAGATGGAACCAGTGCTCCCTGATAGGTTCGATTATGTATCACTCAGCTTAACAGTCAGAGACGTTACCACTGACCTATTCGAGCCGCGACCGACCTCCTATAGAACTGAGATGTAATCACAAATGATTGATCACTGAGTGGTGATCAATGTCATGTTATGTTTCAAATCCTTCTTAGTGTTGATCGAATGCTATCGATCAAGTTGCAATGTGGCCCCTAATCTAGGTGGCTCGTCATTGAGTGCACTAGGTTGAAATAAGATGGTATTCTAAAATATTTTATATTCTTAATTAGTATCCTACTATTAATTGATATTCACCTTATAAACACAAGTCATTTGATTGAAATCTGTCAGTAGTTTAATCAGAAGAATAATTTCTATCAATCAATTTAATCGATAATGACCTTAAAAAAAAAAATTTTTTTTTTCAAACGACTTAAGTAAAACTATTCGGTTTTTCAATTTATTAAATATAATATAAGTATTCATTTATTTATCTAATCTATTTATGAATAATTTTGGAATAGATGAAAAATTTAAAGTTACATCATCGAATTCTATAACATTAAATGTTCCACAACCGAATACATTGAATGATTTCACTGAAAATAATCAATATAAACAAATTAATCCAACTATTCGTAATGTACACAGTTCAAAATCTGTCCCAGAAATTAAATTATATAAACAAAGAATATTTTCACAAAAGTCAATAAAATCTGTAAGTTCATTTTATAATTCTTTTATGTGTAAATGTTCGTTGTTTGTTCTTTTCAAAATCAGTAAGATTATAAGTAATATGAATAGTTACGATTATGAGTTAATTGAAGCTGAACTACTATGGAAAATCTGATAGTACTGGATGATCGTTTTATCCTATTGTGGGATTCCTCGGCATTAGTCAAATATTAATCAAGATTATAAATTTTGCCAATATTTGTCACTTAAACATAGATCTCGTACAAACATTGTATGAAATAATTTACTACACATTCCTTGTTTTGTTTTTTAATTTTAGTGCATTTTCAGTAATTTCATTTTTAACTAGGTTACTTTCTATGGAATGAGATTACTGAATTTCTACTCGACCCTCTTCATTTAAGCGGGATTGAGACCGACAGTAGCCCTAAAACAGCTACAGACGGAATTATAACTGTGTCTTACTAATGTAGATCTTAACAACGCAATTTAATATGATGAATATATAGGTTTAAAGTGAGTGAAAAAAACTATTAAAGATAATTCACCATTGAAGTGAGTTTAAGAGAATAAACAATTAATAAGTATAGTATTCTGCACCATAGTATTCATTTAAAGTGGAATTAATTTAACTAATATTATCGTTCGCCGGATCTTGAATTCCTAACGGTGACGGGTTCCATACTAGGACGAAACGGCCATTTAGTACTTCAAGATTTTTGGTGGTTCCTTATCTTAGATCAGTTTATGATTTCAATGCAAATCATAGTCTTCTTAAAAATATTCTCTGATGAAACTCGGTGAACATCAATAAAATACTCAATATATTTTATAAACACTGGTGAAGACCTTTTTTAGAATATGAGTAGTTTGAGTACGTAAAACTAATTTCTTATTTTGATACTTTTACAAACTAATCCATCTTTCGAAATGTACTCATGCATTAAAAGGAACATTTCCTCTTATTGTTATATAATTATTGAATAAGTACTCTGTTACCCTTTCTCATAACGTTTTAATGTATTTCTGTTTTTCTTTACAAAAATTTTGCATTGTGTTGTTAAGCTCACATAGAATAGCACATGTACATGACACGATATTGAAGCAGTTTGCATGTTTTTGAAGAGGGAAACCAAAATAATTTTGGTGGAGCTTTATTCTGTGAGCTGGTTGGTTCGATCGTGGAAACGAAATCATCAGCACAAACTTGAAGTAGAAGTGAAATGTTAGGATTCCTTCACATATGACCCATAGGTTATTCTGTAGACCTCAGTCTTGATTGATTATTATTGACTATTAACTTGTCATTGTTTACTTCTTTATTACGATTGTATCTTCCACTTCACGATGAAAGCTCTATGACCAAACCATCCACCTCAGAGAACAAAATTTCACCTTAATTATCCATCTGAGCTACAAATCTTCTCCACCAAACCAAAATAATCAATGTTCGTTTGATTTTCTAAAAAAGTAAGAATTAGGTGCATACGAGTGAAATATTTGACAAGATTGTTACCGGATGGCAGTTTGAAAACGTCGTTGCTTATCCATTCATGATTCAATTTATTTTATCAACAGAAATTCATTCAATTTCATGAAGAGTCTCAGAACCTAAAGACAAATGTTTACTGTGAGCGATGTTTCATTACACTAATGTGTACATTGTGTAGCAAGTACAAACGATTTGCAAATGACTTGCAGTTTTTCAACAATTTTTCGCTGCACGGTGTCCAGGTTTACTTACCATTTTGATTATATGTAATGTATGTGTATATATGGTTGCATAATTTATATATATACTATGGCTAATTCAATTCTAAGGCGATGATGACTTCTGAATTGGACTGTATATAGCATGCTGATTTACAGTTCAGAATACAAAAATTATCTAAAATTTTTATTTCAACTTGTGAAAGCATTAAAATTCTTTGGAAATCACCTAGCTAATACGATTGAAAGTAGCTATAACCAACAGGTTTGTTGAAACTCTTCATATTCCTCAGGGAACGTCTTAGCAATTAGTTATTATATAGTATCATTCAATAAGTAATTGTTTTCGTTCTACAAACTATCATTTAATACTTTATTGACCAAGCCAATTAACCTATTAGATATTGTTATAAGAACATTAAGATAATCATAAATAACATAGGTTTCATGACTTAATCAAGTTGTTCAACTATATGACGTTTCTAGTCTAACGAGTAGTGGATATACGCTACTGGATCCTTCTAGTTTCCATGTAGATTTCTGATGTCTTATTTTTTTCAAATATTATCTACCAAAGTTAGATATTTCTCAGTTATTAATTTATTACATAGAAATATATTTTAATTATCTGTTTCAATTGACGATTAGTACAAAAAGAGTTTTCGAAAAAAAGGTGTTAATAAATATGAAGAAACTTTCCACACCAGATTAATGTTGCTTATGCTTCATAATTAATTAGGTTATTAGTGAACAAAATAAAAAGATTGGACATGTACATAAATTCAAAAGTATATTAAAATGAAAATAATAATTAGTGGAAATTAACTAGGTAAATAACAATGACTGTGAACTAAAAACTAAAGATCATATGCTACTTTACTTACTTAATTTTATGATTTTTAATAAGTTGATGAGTCTTGAAAAATAAACCGAAATTCGAACAAACCTCAATCAACCAACACAATATTAAAACATTCATTAAAGATTAACCATATTAGGGAAAATTGAGACTTGTATTAGATATAAATGACTTTAAATAGTTAATATTAGGAGAATATTTCAAAGGATATATGACTAAAAAGTATTGTTCATATTTCAAGCACAAAAAGATTAAAACATCTAATAACCTTGTTATTGTTCATAAATAATACTCAATTCAGGAGATATTCAGTTTAGTCTATATATATATATATATGATTACTCTGAAGAAGTAGCTTACATTAAGTCGCGAAACGTCAGAAATACAAATTTTCTACTCATTAGGATGTAATGAAATTTTTTTTCATTATTCTATTATACTGAACTATATTAAAATGTATGATATGATAAATTGAATATTCTGTCAGTTACTAATATGTAAAATCTATGTGTTATGCTATACTTTGTGAACTGAATTATAAATGTTTCTGCACAGAATACAAGTGTGAATTCTGTTGGAAAGTCTAGCTAAATAATTAGCCACTAGAGTGCTGAAATGTAAATATTATTTAAGCTTACATAGAATAGCTATTATTCTATATTCAAGAAGTAGCATTTTTCCAATGAATACCATTCAAGTTCAGTTGGTATTATTTGTTTGAATCTTCGATTGATGTTTAGAACTGCAATTGATCAGTCTCTTATTGGCATATGTGAGTACTTTCCTTATTGCCTCGATATAGCCTTAATTCACAAGCGTGATAAGCAAAGATGGATAATGGCTAGCAGTGGAATCCAGAACACGCGTTTTGTCCTATTTCGGACTCGTCAGCTGAATGTACTTGCATCCCAGAGTCCCAGAGTGAACCTCAGCTCTGAGATACAGGTACATTCAGCTGACGAGTCCGAAATAAGACGAAACGCGTGTCCTTGATTTCACTGCTAACCACTATCCATCTTTGCTTACAACTACCATTCAAGGTTTATAAAGATATTTGTCTAAAATTACATTTCTTAATTTTCATTTAACTGTTAATGAATTAACTATATGTGTAACTTTAATTTATTCAGGAAAAATCATGTCTACAATTGCCGAAGGCTTGCCTCACTATGCATGGAAAACTAGAGTTAACATCATTCAATAATCAATCTACACTTATGAACGAAATACATAATCAGAATCGATACCCCGATGCATTTATGAGTTCCTTTGGTATTCGGAAATCTAATCCCCGTAGGAAAAATATTTATCATGAACGTTACTCTGCCAACATACATTGGAGATATCCACCTACATCTTATCGACAATCAGGGATTACTTCGTCAAAATCAAAGAACAACTTGGAACCTAATAATTATTTATTAAAACATTTTCCATCAACAAATGTCACTATCATTGATCTTGCCAAGAGTGCTCAATGTTTAATTATCAATTCGTTGAAATCCTCTTATACTCAAACAATCAAATGAAATTTTGTCATAATTATACTGTTAATAATGTAATCTTTTTTTACTATATTCAGTAATTTTTCTCCACCATTTGAATAGATCTAACTGTTTTTAATTTGTGTAAATATGAATATACAGAAATGTTTAGTAACAATGAAGCTCTTCGAAAATAATATGAAGACGGACGGGATCGTGGATACGCACTGCTGAGGAGTCCCACAATAGGACAAAACGACCGTCCAGTGCTCTCGGGTTTTCCTTGGTGGTCTAGTCTCAATTGACTCATGATTTCAACTATAAAAAATATAATACGGTTTTTAATTCAAAAGCTCATCATTTATGGGAATTGTCATGTATCAACGTCTAAAGTTTCTTTCATTTGAGTTTAAATTTCATCTAGTAATAAAGCATTTCCCATATGGTGAATCTTCTATTTTAGATACTGAGTAACTAAAATTTCAGTCTAGCTAGGATAATAGCCATTGTATTGACAAAAGGAAGTAGTGGCAGAGAAGTGGTTTATTAAGTAATGCTCTTTTACAGGCATATAAAAAGACAATATCTGGAGGATAATGATAGACTCATACATTTTTCATGATAGGTCGAATATCATCGTTAATGGTAATGAAGCCTGAAAAATACTGCATTCCATTGTCTATAAAAGTCTTATATACCAATCATTTCTCGGTAAATAATAATAAATAGATATAACCATTGTATTATCGTAGACGAAATAAAAACAGTTTTTAAAGAAAAATCTCACTTTAGACGATATACTGTTTTATTTGTAGTTAGTTACTATATACAAGTCTGTAAGAAAAGATGAAAATACTTTATAGGGAAAACATAATTTCCAGTTCGATGAATATTAAAAAGTTCGAATATACTATTCTATACTATACTACTATTATAACTCCGCCTGTAGCTCCTCCGGGGGTTACTGCCGGTCCCAAACGCGGGTAAAGGAGGAGGGTTGGGCATGGGGTTAGCGAACCCATCCCGTAGAAAACCAATTCGCTAAAAAACGCTGATCAGAAAAATTTGTTCAAACCATTTAAACTCTGCCCTGCGAATTGAAGGAACAATTATGACGCCTCATGACGAAAGCCGAGTTCCTTCGGAAGTCATGAGGCCGATGCACCTTCGAACAACTAGAGCAACAATTTTTATAGGTTCATGGAACGTCCGGACAATGTAGGAGACCGTGAGTGTATTCTCCATTGCTGCAAATAATTTATTATTAGCATCTAATTATTCTATGAAAGAATGACTTATAGTAAGTCATTAATTGACGGAAATTCGATTTTCCACTAATCATGATATTACAAATATATCAATCTTTCTATTAATAAACAATCTACTGAATGCTCAATTTATTCGAAATTATCAAGCCAAATCTTGATGATGACACTTACAATAATTAAATGTTTCAATAATTATGAACAAACAGTTGAGTATTAACAACAAATTATTGAATCTGGAAGGCATTAAGGTGGTTAAAACATGAAAGAATAAGGGGTTTGACATGTTCTGTCTGTATACAGTGATCGAGTTTGAAACCATAAATTACTAAAGCTTCCACAGTGCATATGTTACTTGCTTGTGATATCTTTAAACAACTTTATTTGACTAAACAGATGAGTTTAAAAAAATATCCTGGTGGAGCAACGTGAAACGTGTCTACTAGATGTTCAAGAATTAAACTACCAACTACCTTTAGCGATCTTTAAGTAACCAGTGTAACGTTCAGTGAAGCGTTTTGAGGGAACTCGTTTTGTGTAGTCACTGTAACATACTCCACAAAAACAAATAAACTTGTTTATATTATGGTATTTGAAAGACATCATTCATTAACATATAAATTTCTGGTTTAATTGAGATAGCATCATAAACTCATATAAAGTAATAGCTAATAAATCTCATGCGAACTTGAATATCAACGAACATATTGACGGATAAATCAGGGGAAATTCTCCATCTATTACAACACAAGTATAAATCATCTACAACAATTGTTAGGTTTATTGTTTCAATAGTTATCGTGCATTATACACTTTTAAATGAGCATAACATAAAGAAATCAACTGCAAATATAACTGCCTAATACCTATTAGATTTTACTGTGTATTCTCGAAATTTTTATACGATCCAGAAAATTTCAGAGCAAACTGTAAATTCTTGTCAAGCTTTACATTTAAAACATGATTTGTGCCAAGTCTTTCTACTGCAGAAAACCCTATGAGAACCAGCAAATACGCATTTCACAAAAAACAGCATTTTATAACAGTTTCTCAATCAAATGATATTTAAAGGCTGATACTGAAATTAAATCAACCGATCTAAATTGAGTTCTGTTTTAGCTTGTGTCAAAACGACAAGTTCTGTTATGTACTATACTTATAGATTAATAGTATTTGATAGCTTGAAAAAACAATATTACATAATTGCATTTGTCTTATTTTGCTTCACCATTACTGTCACTTCCTAAATATCTAAAATTTTACTGATCAAAATATGATCGGGATTATGAATAAAACTCTATACCTATAGGGTAAGTGATGATCCTCATTAATCAAATGCATTTGCTTCTTGATATACTGTCTACAGAAGCTTGTATGAACTTATAACGTAGTAATTTTCAAAAACTCAAGAAGCTTAAGGGTCTTGTGAAAAGTCGGAAATTCGGAACATAAATGTAGAGTTTTTGTCTAAAGCAATTTCAATAAGGTCAAAGATCTATAATTTTCTTAGAGACAAGAAAAGAAGATACCTGAAAACGTACTGTTTTAAAGATATCTTCTTTCCAGAATGTATTGATAAAATTATTTCTTAGGTAAATTCAAGATTCTCATTTTAAAATGGAGATATTTAAGCTTCGTTAGAGGTTACTGTAACTAAGTATTATTGACAGTGTTTCTACGTCAATAATTGATGATAACTTTTCGCAGGATGTCAAGTAGTTGTTATCTTCGGATTTCGAAATTGAATAATTTACAGGCTACTAGCAAGTCAATCGTATTTAATGTACACTGAAACAATTTATACCTGATTTCACGGGAAGTGTTTGTTCCATGACAGTCAACACGAAACTTGGGTTCGATGTTACTATCTAATTACTTTCAACACATAGAACCTAAATTTATTGAAAGAATTTTTCTATATGCGTTCATACATAAATACATCGTTCAGTCCTGTTCAGTATTTAAGTGAAATAATATATTTTTATATTCCGTTTTATATAAATTTTTACATACCTCTTCGCCTACTAATAAGTAGGAATTAGCATGATATTGAAATATTGTTATTCTATAAATTCACTTGGCATTGTTTAGTTGAATCCTACCATTGATGTTTAGGACTGAAACTGGTCAATCTCTAATTAGCATATGTGCATACTGTGCGTAATACCTCGATATTGCCTTAATTCACAAGCATACATCCAACTGACGAGTCCCAAATAGGACGAAAAGCGGGTCATGGATCCCACTGCTAGCCACTATCCACCTTTGCTTTGTAGTTATTCTACATTTCAAGTATCAAAAGCCTGATACTATCAAAATATGCATTAGTTAAACTAAATTTCAAGAATTTATTACCTTAAAAACAGAAACAATAGAGTAACCATATTATTAATTACTACAGTAATCATGATGGCTTGATAAAGTTTAAATAAAAAACACAAAGTTCAACGAAGGGATCTCTTTTCAACGAATTCAAATCGTAACAAAGTATGGTTAAGAAAGATCATAGTTTCCAAAAAAATTATGAAATTTTTATCATGTATTCATGAATTTTCTAATAACTAAAGAAAAGGCAGTTAAAAGTGGGTCTAATTGACAAAGTAACACAGAAGGCGGTTTCCATGTCAACCTGTATATGTTCAAACTCTCTGTATCTAACTTCTTTTGGTGTTAATTTGTTTTTAAGTAACCATTTTTACTTCAAAAAAAAAAATATATATATATATATTGAATGATGAGAAGGTCTGATGATCACATTTTCAAAAATAATGATCATAACTAAAACGGAGGATAATAGTTCTAAGCATAAAGGATATCCCTTGAAACTGATGTTAGTAACTAGATCTACTAGTTAATAAAGAATATCATTTCTCCTACAGTAATCACTAGTAATTTATCACTTAGTAAATGTTTAATATTAAGCAATAGTATTCCGTTAGTTATTCCTTTTTAATAACTCGCTCAAATTTTTCAACTTGGGAATTTAATATTATGAAACTATGTAGTTTTGCTTGTCCACAGTATTCGATCAAAGTATCAAACTCATAATAATTTAGATTATTTTATCTTTGATTTAAAGTTCAAAAAGCACTACTGGTAAAATATTAAAAAATCAGTTTACAGAAACGTTAACAATTTTACTCAATTCAAACTATACAAAATGTCATATGTTTCATTATATGAAACGCCTGTTACGCCTGTTACCTCTCGTGTAGGAGGAACATAGGTCTCTCATCAGCATTCTACATCAAACTCTATCCTGGACAATTCTTTCCAGTTGCTAATCATCCAAATGATGCGTACTTCCGATTCACGGTAAAGTGTGCTTTTGGTCTTCCTCTTTCCCATTTCCTCTCAGGATTCCAAGTGAGCACTTGCCTCGTGATGCAGTTTGACGATTTCCGAAATGTACATCCTATCCAACTCCATCATCTTTTCTCAATTTCCTTTTCAGTTGGAGTCTACTTCGTCCTCTCCCACAGTAGGCTGCTTCTGATGGTATGTGACCAACGGATATCGAGTATCTTACGTAAACATCTGTTTATAAATACCTGTACCATTTTGATGATGGTTGTAGTAGTTCTTCAAATTTCAGCTCCATAAAGTAGAACTGACTCGACGTTTGTATTGAAGATTGTGACTCTGATATTGGTTGACAGTTGTTTTGAGTTGCATATATTCTTCAACTGTAGGAATGCTGCACTTAATTTGCCAGTCCTTGCTTTTACGTCTTTATCACTTTTCACTAGTACGTGAAGAAACGTTTGTCAAGAATGGATT